TTTTATGTTAATAATTTAAAATTCCTATTTTACTTTTAACTTAATCATTTGGACACGTAGTGATATAACAAACATTACATGACTGGCTCTGAAGAAAGGGAACTCCTAAGTGAAATAAATAAGTCACACATGTGTAAATACCAAATAATTTCCCTGGTGTGAATATTCTGCAACAACGCATAAGATTCTAATAAGATTACTGACATTTAGAAATTTGAAGAAAGGAGCTAAAGGTGTAGGGAAGGTGTGATGCATAGGGGAAGAACAAAAAGGGAAAAGAAAAAAATGTGAGAGAATGAAAAGATGAAAATAAAGTGTTTGTAGATGGGGAGGGGATGAGGGGGTGAAGGGAGGGCAGAGGTAAGGGGAAAAAATGAGAATCAAGACTTGCCATGTAGAGGTACATGATCCCAACAATGAATGTAACTGTACTGTATCCCTAAAATGTACCAATAAACTCAATAAAATTAAAAAAAAAAAAAAGAAAAAGAAAGGGAGCTGGGAAATGGCTAAGCCCAAACATGGTATTTAAAAGTAATTTCTTTCTAGTTGACAATTTTATAGTGTATTCATGCAACCAAAATAAGTGGGGGAACAAACTAAGTAACAACACAAATAATACATAAGTTGAAGCCGTTTCCTCCAGCATGCCCAGCTTTTATAAATCTTCCTATGTTGATAATCAAGAAGATTCCTTTGCTACTTCCCATTAGTGAGGTAAATCCCACACACGTGCAGGTGGCCCACCCAGGAAGCACACAGGCTTGTAAGTAATTAGATTTAGGAATGCATGCTTTCCTTGCTTCTGTCAGAAATGGAACGTGGCCCTGGTAATGAAGCCAGCTGACAAAACTGGGTGCAACTGTTCAGATATAGTGTTTTCTTGGAGCATAATGTTAAATAAGTAAGAATGAGCACCAAAATATTAGCATTCCTGAGGAGATTGGCCGTTCATTTTTTTTCTTAATAAGAACAATAATTCATAGTATTTGCCAGGAAAAACCCTAAACACTTTCAGTTTCTCTTGTTTAATTTTCAAAACATTCCAGAAGAAAGATATAATCATTTTCCTTTTACAAAAGGGAAATGGAGGTCCAGAGATGTTAAGGATCTTGCCATGTTGCCAACATATTAAGATGTTGACAGAATTAGTTGTGGAGCCAGGATTTGGATCAAGGCAGTCCATGTCCCCAAGCAGGGTTCTAGGCCTTTTTTTTTCCCTTTCAGGAGGATGCCTTTGCCAGGTATATTGGCTTTTTCCTCAGGTGATACTGGGCTAAATGCTAGGGAAACATCTTGCTTACCTGAAAAAAAAAATATATATATATATATATTACTGGTTTTGATCAAATTCCCTGGAAGACTGGTTAAGATTTGTCTTAACACATGCATTTCCTTTGCCAAAGCACACGTGGTATGTTTGGACATATGGTATCATTTTTATGATCCTTTAACCTTTACATATTTCAAATATTTCATGGTAGGGTTAATTATTTGTGGCAACCAAGATTGGCAGCTGGTCTTATGGGGCCATCTTTGGAATCCTTAAGAAATGAGAGGATTGGTACTTTGTGGAACATAACTTTCAAAGATAAATATGTGCATATAAAGAAGAAATTTTTGACCAACTCATTAGGGAGCCCTGTTTGTAATGTCTTTTGGTAAACTAAAAAATTTACTCTGATACCTATAAGTATGCATGATTTTTAGTTTGGTGTTACTGTGCTTCCAACAATTTTACAAACAGATAAACAGTGAGCATCCTGAATTGCTTGAAAAAGTTCACTCAGCTATAACTCAGATATTGACTATCTTTGTATGTCTTCAATATAATGTTTAAATATACAAAATAGACTTGCTAAAATTCTTCAACTCATTAAACATTGAACATATCTTTGATAACTTGATTAGTGAGATGTCTAAGTTGATAGAATTATAAATAACTTTAAAGCATCATCATTATTAAAAAATTTAAACATTAAAAAATATGGTTGACCACTTCTCATCCTTCTAAAAACCGTTTGACAAGACAGCTAAAATACAATGAAATCTGTGAAGCACTACATGGAGCCCAAAGCAGAAGACCTTACAGAATGTGAAGCTTCCACAACACATGTACAGTATGGTACATGTTTATCGTTGCTTTAACAGCTTAGTTTCAACGATCGCATCAGTGGACTCACATTAACCTGCTTATGGAAGCAGTGAAGGGGCCAGATTCTGAGGTACAGTTTCCTTAGGTTTGAATCCAGTGAGTGGGGTTATGAGCCTAAATTTTTGAGTGACTGGAAAGTTTGTGTCTGTACCCTACAGATGCGTGGCAATGTTTTTCTCTAGAGAACATGTGGTAACATCTGGAAACACTTCTTTTTTTTTTTTCCTGTCAAAAGTGAGGAAAAGGATGTCACTGTTTTCTTGGAAATAGAGGCCAAGTATATTGCTGACTTGTTAACAATGCGCAGGCATGTGCCCCACACAAAAACTGGGCTGACCCAAAATTCAGTAGTGTTGAAGAAAGAAATCCCACTGTAAGTCAAGATCACTTAAGTTGGCTTTTATAGATCCCAGGCTATTTTCTGATTGGATCTTAGAAAAGACTCTTATAGTTTAATTATGAAGTCAATCTGCATAAAGTGGCCAGAAAGAATTTAGTCTCTAACTTAATGAATGGCTATTTTAAAATGCATTTTAACTCTTTCTAAGTTTACTATGTCAATAAAATCATCTTTGAATAAATCTAACATATTTTTCCATATTCAAAAGAGAGACCTTTTAAAATAGTTTTTACTGCCTAAAAGATATAGCTCTATTAATCTGCAGTCCAAAATTAATGTCCAATACTTGTTGAAAAGTGATTCTGGATTTTGCATAGCAACTGTCTCAGTCCATTTTGTGCTGCTACAAACAGCAAGCCTGACACTGGGTCATTAATAATAAACAGAAATGATTTCTCACATTCTTAGAGGATTGGAAGTCCATCATCAAAGGGCTGGCATTGATGAGGACGTACAGAAGGGCAAAAGAGGGAGGGCACCAATCCAACTCACAAGGATGAAGCTCTCATGTCTAATCACCTCTCAAAAGCCCCTCCCCTTAGTACTGTTACAGAGACAATTAAATTTCAACATGAGTCTTAGAGGGACAAACATTTAGTAATAGCACCGAATTTTACACAATGAATAGTACCAAATGCATGGTTAGAGATCTTACACCTCACTGATAATGTAATAGAACACTGTATCATTCCTGTTTCTTTGGCTTAGGGTCAGAAATTCTTTATCAGTTGACCATAGACTTCTATGTAGGACTAACACTAAGATAGTGACTGTTCCATAAAAGAGTCAGGATAAATAGAAATCTGCTTAAAATTTGTACTAGCTTAAAATGGAGATGTTCTTTACTTCTCTTTTATCTACTCATTTCTAACAATCTAACTTGTTTCTCAATTAACTGACTTTTAAAAGTGCTAGCTGCATTTCTCCTTTCTCAGTGAATAGAAAAATGCACAAATTATGTGATTTTTTTCAAAAAAATTATTTAAAACAAGGGTTGGCTTAAATAAACAATTGGCTCTGTTACCCATGGCATCAGACAGAATTCTTTATATTAGTTACACTATAACCAAATTTATTTTTGACAACTTTTCTGTGCCACATCCTTCTGTTACGATGTCCCTGCTTTGGAACTTGCCAACAGTGTGCTGAATCCCCTGAAATCATGAGCTAAATTAAACCTCTCCTCCTTTAGGCTGTGGGTGTTCGGTACTGTGACCCAGCTTCAGAAAGGCTGAGTAATACAAAAGTGCTCCACAGAATGTTGGCTGTGAAGGAAGTTACTCAGATTCAAATTTCAGTTTTTCATTTAGTAGCTAGAGACACTGAAGAAGTTACTTCACATTTTTGTGCATGTATTTTCCTCATTGGTAAAGTAGAAACAATATTATTTAACTTATAGGATTGTTAAGGGACTAAATGAGTGAAACACATTATTTAACATGGCTTCCAAGGGAAACACACTTGTGCTCCTTCCTGCCTCTCAGGAGCTGTCTGTCTCAGTAAAGTTTTCCTACTCTTAGGGTTCCTAGTACAGAAGAGGACACATAGTGATGAAAGAGTGTTAGTTAACTATGTTGTTGTCACCATTATTGTGAAGACTATCATTTCTCTCTCATAGTGTTCTCTCCTCTTATATAGTTTATTGAATGTTTGCATTCACTTTCATGAAAGTACTTATTCTAGGAACTAAATATCAAATTTAATTTTTTCTTTGGCATTCAGGGATAGATGGATTGTTTTTTTAAATCTGAAGGAAGTTTAAGGCACTATTGGGCCCTAAGTTTTATTCTTAGGATAGCAACTTTTTAGGAATGACCCAGAAAGTAATCATTTCTCTAGTGTGACTTCCAACCCTTGGGTGATAGGGCACTTGTAGCAAAATGAGATGCCTTCCCTCTGCTTTAATACTTTATATACAGTAATAATATTGAGAAGCAAACTAAATGTGGAGTCAGAATAACCAGGTTCTAATTAAATCCCATTTCCAACTACCTGTGTGACCTTGAACAATGAATTGCTCTGATAAAATTGGGAGGTGTTAAGGAGATAATCCCCGAAGCACCTTGTATTAGTGTATAGCATGTTTTCTACAAACCTTGCTCAGTCAGGGACTCTAACTATGAAGAAATAAGAAAGAATAGAGAAAAAGAAAATAATACAAAGGAAACAAAAGAAGGAAGAGATTATTAGGAGTACAATGAAAAATAGAAAATAAGGGAGGTAGATTCAGCTAGACAGTTGGCTGATACTTTTATTTTTTATTTTTTAGAGTAGGAACATTTTATTGAGGGAAAGAAAGCTTCTGTCTAAGAGAGACAGAAAGGAGACTGGAGAGTGGGTTGCCCGCCCACCCCACTTTTCAAAGATGTTTTATTACAGCCAAGCCATGTGGTGAGTAGGGTACAAAGTGGGACAAAACTATAAGACCAGTGGAAAATGACAAGGTGGGCATGAGGTGGGGCAAAACCATGACCAACCAATAAGATTACAAGTACAGTCAGGGCAATATTGATTCTGTGCAGGGAAAATAGGTTCTACAAGGACTGTGTCACAGAAAAGAGTCTAAAATTTTTGAGAAATTAAGGATTTCATGCATGGATACCATCAGGAAAGAAATAAATCAAGAAAAGATAGGCATATTCTCCCAGGATCAAGGGTTGTGATGAACACTATATATTTCCTTTCTTGGTACATCTGTTATATGTAGGAGGGCTTGAAATAAAGCACCCATGTGGTCTGACCCTCCTCTATTGCTATGGATCATCTTATAATAAGCAATAACACAATTCTAGCCTGGCCATCCCTAGAGACTCCTTCCCAGACTATCTCTTTGCAAAAGAGAATGTCGTGTTTTGACAGGGGTAAATTCTTCAGTAAAGAAGTGCAGAGAGAATGCTATAAATGCATCCATATGTTTTCCTCTTACCCTTATTTCTGCATTTCATATGAAGTATTCTTTTACCTTAGAGTCTATCTTCCTCTCTCAGAAAAAAACTTTTACTTCTTTTCTTTTCTTTTCTTTTTTCCTATTTCTCCCTTTGGCCCAAATCATAGTCCTGAAAATGTAAAACCTGCAGTTTTGGGTATGTTACCAAAAGAAACAGTCTTACTTAAAATCTTGTTTTTGCCAAAATATTTTCAAAGTAGCTGGAGAGCTGTCAAACCACAGTGGCTCTCAGCTGCATTTCCTTCTAGCATTTCCCCAGGTTCTCCCAGCACAGCACTCAGTAATTGGATATTATTTGAGGAGGAAGGGAAAAATGCTGCACAAGACAGTTTGTAGATTTAGGAATTATCCTCCGGGTGCTGAAGGCCAGAGATTCAGAGGTGCTCAGCTGCCAAACTCTGGGCTGCGTGACTGTGTATCATTCCTAGATGCAGCTTTCAGCGAGGAGACCTGGGGGAAACACGCTGGTAACTGTCAATGTGTAGACTGTCATTCCAAAGTCCTTAGATTCTTTTCAGCCTCTGGTCATGTGACTTCAACCAATGGAGTCTATCCTAAAAGAAGAAAATTACTGTAAACAACTTGAGATGACATGCACACTGGCATTGCGGGTACTGACAACCTTCGCTTGTTCGTTCCTGTCTCTTCTAACCCTAGCTAGCAATTATGGCTTTTTGGTACCAGTTTGTACGTTTAGAATAATTTCAATGCAGGCAATCAGCCTTTGGGTTTCTCTAATTCCTTTCTTCAAAGACCTTGAGAGGGATGGCAACTCGTCAGTTACATTTTCATTATTTTAGAGATAGTAGCTAGTGTCCTCTTGACTTCTCCAGAAACTGAAGTTTAGGAAGGTGACATGAGTTTCCCAAGATCACATAAAAAGTCTAAACTGCTTCTCACTTGTTAGTATTTTTTAACTTATTTGACCGTAAGACAATATAATGTGACGAATTCATTTATGGTAAAATAATAATTTCAAAACTGTATAAAATGATTGTAATTATCATTTATCCACTAATCACTAACTGACTATAGATTTGGCTTCAGGGTTCAAGTGCCACAGCATTCTAGCTATTTTTACAACATCTACCATTATATCATAAGGCTCCAGTGGGAGGAAAATCCTGAAGGGGCAAGTGAAGAGAATTTGACAGAGTGCACAAGTTCAAGAGAGCCAGCGTGAGACACGCAGCTGGAAACAGTTGCCCCTCACTCACTACTATTAAGCAGTGACCAGAACCCAGGGAGGTGACTCTGACCTTACATTTTTTTCCTCTCTGCTCTCTTGTAAGTGTACCATGGGCAAAACTAACAATAAGCCAGTGGGTAAAGAAGCCTGAATCTCTTCTCTGAAAATACTATATGCTGATGACTGCTGAATTTTTATATCCATGCTTAAATTTAAATTTCCTACTAGGCGTTTCTTAACTGGGCCCCTGATCAACCTCCAAGTTTAGTTCTTTCCCTAATATTCCCCCATCTCAGTTGTTGGCCATCTCTGACTAGCTGTAGGACAGAAATCTTCTAGACATCCCTAACTTCTCTTCCCCTGCATTCATAACTAGCGCCCTCCTCTTCAGCAAATCTTGTTGACCCTTCTTCAACATATACCCAGTATAGGGCTGGGGATTTAGCTTGGTGGTTCCATGGCTTGCCTCACCAGCACAAGGTCTGCTGGGACCAAACAAAACAAAACAAAACAAAAAACACCCCAAAACATATACCTGGTTTCCCATCATGTCTCAATAGTACTACCATAATCTGCACCCAGACTGTCACTTTCTGAAATATTATGCTAAATAATTCTGCTTCTATCCTACCTCTTTGTGGTTTAATCTCAAGACTGAAACTGAAGAGATACTCTGATAAAACCCAAGTTAGATCATGTTGAGCTTCTATTCAGAATGCTTAATAACCCGTCATTTCACGCCTAGAAGGTACCGAGTGCTACCTAGAGAAAGTCAAGTCCTTACAATGACCTACAAGAATCGACAAGATGTGCTCATCCATCCTCTCGGCTGTCTGGCATCACTATCTGCTATTTCTGCCTCTCCTTATCTTTTTTCACTCTAAACTATTTTCTGTGTTTAAAACATTCTGCTATTTTTGCTATTCCCTCTACTTGGTGTTCCTTTCCATCAATAGCTGTGTGGTACAGTCGTAAATCTACTTCAGATTTTTGCACAAATGTCACCTCATATGAGGCCTGCTGTAGTTCATATTAAAATGTAAGTGTCCTTCACCCCCAAATTAACATATTTTTCTATGATTCTTCTCCTATAGTACTTGTTGTGGTTTATATCTAGATGTTCCCTCAAAGCTTCATGCCCTCATAAGTGGGACTTCCGGGAGGTGATTGGATCATGAGAGGATGGTCCATCATCATCAGTGGACTAATCCATCATGAGTTCACGGCTAAATGTCATGTTAGGGGGTGAAGCTTGGTGGGAGGAGGTGAGTCACCGGAGACATGGCCTGTAGGATTTATCTCTTTCCTGCTCTTCTCTCTGGTTCCTGTTGTCATACCATGAAGAGTTTCTTCTTTGCCAAGCCCTCCAGAAATGCTGCTCTGCTGTGTAGCCAGCTATGGGCTGAAACTTCTACAAACTCTGAGCCAAAATAAACCTCTCCTTTCTTAAATTGTAGATGTCAGGTATTTTGTCCCAGCAATGAGAAAGTGACTAAGACAGTATTTAACACCATCTGACACCTTTTATTTGTTTTGATCTCCTTTTCCCTGCTTGCACCTCCCTACTCACTAAAATGAAATATCTGTGATCCTGACATGCTTGAAGCACCGTAACAGGACATAAGCGATTAGCAAAGTTCCGCTGCATGCAACAAGACTGCTTTTTTCCCCCCTCGTAGTACTGATTCACTGTTCTTGGCACAGGGATGCACAAATGCTCCCTATCTTGTATCAGAGGATTTCTTTATATGTCCATATCAGGATAGCAAAAAGAGGCTTTAAGTCTGAAATGTAGCAATGTTTGAGCCCTTTTGTTAGAAACAAATTTATTATATTCTATAGACCTTGGAAGTTAGAAGAGCCAGAGAAAAGAGGCCTTTTTTCATAAAATCATCATTAGTAAGTCATCTGAAATCACTCAGGGCCAGAGTTTATCCTGAGAAAGAACTGAGAGTGGACATGAGGAAACTTTTGTCTCAATGGTAATAGACTTAAAGGGCACAAACTCACAGCCAAACTCATAGAAAAGGAAGAGAGAATGGAGATGATACCTCAGCTCGAGAGGAGAGGATCTGAAGTGTACACAGCATTGGTGGAGAAAATTAGACTGGCGATTAACAAAAGAAATGGGCCAGCTCTTATGGAGTTGCCAGTGTGGGCTAGGGTCTGGTAGATCATCATTTCTGACCTGGTTTTGTAAGGTGGCTCAGGAGCAGTTCTTAACCCTTGAGGGAACAATGTGGCCCCCACAGAATGATATTTTCTGCTTGAGAAGAGTCTCAGTTCCTGTCTGGGTAATTGTTCTCATGTGTGCCTGTGTGTGTGCATGTGGCGGGGGGGTGGTGGTGATCTCATCATGTGATGATCTGTCTGAAGAGGTTTTGCTGGCATTTAAGGTAATGAGTTAGGACATTTAGGTGATGATTTTAGGACAATAGCTGCATATTTTTAGGTGATGGCTTGGGAGGGTCTGGAACACGACTTTGTAAAGACTGACAGTTGAATGTTTCTGAAACAACATACTCTTGTCTTGGTTTCCTCAATCTTAAAAGAGAATCAAATGGGTTAGATAAATTTAGAACTAAAAAGCCAGGTTTTAGACAGGCACTCCTTAAGTGACTAATGTGTTTACATGCAAAGCTCAGTAAGAATTTGATCCAAAGTTTAAGGTAATACAAGATAGATATATAAAATAAATGCAGATATGTCAAGCTTTATTCTGAATTTAGTTACCCATTAAATGCCTGTAGGTCTAAATGAAGAGTCAGTGCTTTATAGCAAAAGCAGCTGTTAAGTCCCTGAAGGTCTCAAAACCACACATGACAGCTCTGCTGAAATCAGAGGCAGGGTTGCAAGTTAGAGTTCAAAAACTGTAAGAAAATGAGAAAAGTTTTCCAGAAGTTGAGCTATGGGAGAATTCTGCATGTTTTATGTATTCTTGGCAAGTGTTCAAAGAAAGTCATTGGCTGTATTTCCCACCCTAAGTATTAAGATTTTAATGTATAAGACCTTAAAAAATAGTAAGGTATGTAAAGCTTTACAAAGCCCGGAGGCCAAAACCGGTAAAGTAGAAAAATCTTTCTAATCTTTTCTCCTAGTATATTAAACAAATATCAATAAGCTTTATGCTGAAAGGGATCAAAAAGTTTGTCCAATTTCAGCAGAGTGGAAAAGCCAGTGAGGAATTTTGTTTTACAAAAGAATAAAATAAACACTAATCAAGTAATGGGATTTTAGGTGTTCAAGGGGCCCCAAACTAAAAATAAATCATTTATTATAAGCTTGATGCAACCAAAAATTCCACATTCCACCATTCCACTCTTCTACTTAAGGATTTATTCCTGGGTGAAGTCCCCCATCAGATAATTGTTCCTCAATGTGATAAAAGAATTTGAGAACAGTTTTGCCAGGGGGTACATAATTGTCTGTAAGGACCCTGAAAGGCTTGTGATCCAAGGAACACAGGATTAAAGAAGCTCAGACTGCAAACTCTCACCTATAGGTTTGCTTTGATTCAACTTCATTTCTTCTGTTGTAAAGATTCTTCATCTTCAGGATGTATCTTTTGGGGAAAATTGTCATTTCAGAGACTCAGGTCAGGTCTCACATGTAGACTTAGGGTCAGACAGAGGCACCTACCAGTGTGTGACATATATAGTCTTCCCGTTAGTCTTTACCTGACCATCACATGTCTCATTCTGTCTTTATAATAAATTAGCACAATCACTGAAACTGGTAATAAGTGTAACTAAAGAAGAAATTGATAATAATCATTAAAATCTAGGTGGTACCTTCTATGCATGAGTGGATTTCAATTATCCGAATTTCCACCCTGGAAAATAACTTTAAGATGTTTGTTCATTATGCTTGTATTCCCAGTAGTCCTTCAAGAAACACTGATCACCACCAGAAACTGCATTACATCAAGAGACTTATGAAGAAACAAGACAAAATAATGTATAGTTATAGAAACTAACTTCTGTGAATCTAAACTAATGAAAATGAGAAGTAAAAGAAAAAATACAGAAAAACAACACCCTTATAAACAGAATGGAAGCATGAATCTTAATTTTAAAAAGTATTTTCAGATAATGAAGATTTTAAGAATAATGTAAGGTTTCTTTATATTACCTTTTCAGGAGAGAG